AGGAAATTTTGGTTCTATGGAACTTTGCTTGTGTTTCTACCATTATTTTGTGGTCTTACGCCTTCTGCGGGTGTTAATCAATGGAAAGACCATTTTTGATGAAGGTGCCAATATTTTACACATTGGAATGAAAGGATGTTGTTTGTTCTTGGGCTACTTTGCTTGTGATTAGCTAAGGCATTAATGAAGCAAAAACTGTATGAGTTGCATTTATTCGGTTGCCATTTTGTTTAGTTTATTATAGAAGGGCTATTTTGAAAATCAGACAGCCTGAAGCATAAGTCAATGGTTTGTATATGTGCCACATTTTCTGTTCTTGGAGTGAACTCTGATCCTACTCGAATTGATGAAGTTTATATACATGCAATCTTTCTTTTAATATTGATGTATTGGCTTCAGAATTTAGACATTTCATTTGAATTAATAAATTCATATTTGATTTGTAATAGGTGGAAAAATTCAGTGGTGAGTTTCATGCTCCCAGAAGCACGTGTCATCTTTGTTATCTCACATATTTCAGTTTTTCACTCTGATAGTATCTGAAATGAAACACCTTGCAGTGTTTTTGATAACATGTTGGTAATATTCGTAGGCATTAGGATGTTCTGTAAACTAATATGGAGCCTGTATCGTTTTCATTTTGCAGGATGATAATGATGTGCTTTGACGATCACCTGGAACTCCTGTTTTCAATGCACCTGAATGTATTTTAGGTTTGTGCTTTCATTTTATGTTTGTAAAATGCTTTTGGGCAAATATGTTTATGAAATGTAGGTTTTCACTACTGTGTCTATTGATATTTTTTAGGTCTTACCTACCGAGGTAAAGCCTCGGACACATGGGCCGTAGGAATTACTTTATACTGTATGATATTAGGCGAATACCTTTTTCTTGGTGACACACTTCAAGATACATATGACAGAGTAAGAAATTTAATTGTATTTCTATTTTTGTTTTCATCATATGCTTTTGTTATTTATGAACTGTTTTCTTTTTATTCTCTTGAAATCTATTTCTATCACCTTCCTTAAAAAAAACCTAAAATTGGGAGGAATATGGTATTTGGTAATAATTATATGGAAAGTGTATCAACTAGAAAAGCAAACAAGAATTCAAACAAACCAAACACACCCATCTAAGTTTCATAATCTACAAGGCCTTCATGTTACCCTTTTTCTTAATTCAGTTTCATAATATATTACAAGGCCTTCGTGTTACTTTTTTCGTTATGCAGATAGTCAATAATCCAATAGTGCTCCTAAAGGATTTGAATCCGCGGTTGAAGAGTTTAACCGAAGGACTACTTTTCAAAGGTAAACAACATTCAATGTTTTGGCGTATTACCTGACAAGTTCAAAGTTCTTCGGGGAAAGATTATAAAATTAGCCATTTTTGTTATTTTAATTATTAATAATAATTGAGATTTGAAATCTGCATACCCAAAGCAAAGGATGACGTTGGCTGATGTCGCGGCTGATAGCTGGGTTATTTGGAGAGGAAAGACAGTGATGAGAGCTAGCAGTATGCTTCCATGACTTTTACTGACTAAATTTGTTACTGGGCTGCATTTGTATATGTAGAGTGGAAACCTCTGATATTGTTTTTCTCATTCTGACTGTACAGTGGAATTATATGATTATAGAGGTAGGCTTGAAGGAAGGTTAAGATTTGAGAAATATGCCTCATGTTTGTGGAAATAATTACAGTTTTTTTTGGAAATATTTGAGCTTTTGTACTACAAGCTTCTGCTTATAGTCATATAGATTACATAATATTTGTTGAGTCCTAGAGTTGATATGAGTTTCATTGAGTTTGTTGAGTCCTATGAGTGTAGTTCAAATATACATGTTTTGATCACAACTGAAAACAAAGTTGAAATTAACTTTTCAAGAGTTATAGTTTTGGATTAGATTGATTAGTTGTCATTACTGTTATATATATTTTGTATTTGTATATGTCATCAGTTGTTTTTGCAGTCAATTACCATTCAATGTTTGGAAGCACTTCAATATTTACATAACCTTGGACTAATACATTGTGACTTGAAGCCAGAGAATATTTTGGTTAAAAGCTATAGCCGATGTGAGGTGAAGGTCATTGATCTTGGAATTAGTTGTTTTGAAACAGATCACCTTTGCTCATATGTTCAGTCCAGTTCCTATCGTGCTCCCGAGGTTATTCTCGGGCTATCATATGACAAGAGGATTAATATCTGGTCCCTTGGATGAATCCTGGCAGATCTGTGAAAAAGTGAACCTGAGAATAGAGGTCTAAGAGTTGAAGACTAAGTTAAACAAGTTACACAAATGTGGTACTTTGGCAATATCATCCTTAGTAATTACTTATGCAGAATAATAAAGAGATAAGTTGTTTTTCATTATTTCTTCTTTTCCCATTTTATTTATAAATCAGAAATTATTGTGCTTTACGATTTTTCCAATCTACCTTCATGTAGCAGAAAGCTGAACATTGAAGGTTCAGGCACTTGGTTTGATTGTGATAAAAGTCTATGAATGTTAGATGTTTGGTTAAATGTTTGTGTATGCTTTTTTCAATACTGATATGAAAATACATTAGGTGCACTGAAGCTAGCAAGTGAACTAGCCTATACTTGTCTTTTGCTGAATTTATTGTTTGATTGTCTCAAGCATAAAACAAGATTTTGATGTAACTAAACTTTATGAATTGAAGTGTTTAGTTTCGAATTCAGAGAGACTATAAATCATCATGCCAATCAAGCTTTAGATAATGACACAATGATAGATAGTTGTTAATTTGATGAGTGATTATTTTGAGTTTGAGGATTTTTTTTTGTAGTTAGTTGTAATTTATTTGGTATGATGACCCCATAACTTGAAACAAGTTTCATTATGTCACAGTTATATACATAGCACGAATGTTAAAAATGTTAGTAATATAAGAACTTTGATTGGAAAGATTGTCTATTTTCTCATATTCTTGTCTGTTTCTATAATTACACATTGATTTCTACATTTGTCTCGATGATTAGGAAGTGACATTGATTTTAAACTAAAGCAGTTTCAGGTCGAACCTGATATGTGAATGTCTATTCTGAAAACTGCAGGGATGCAAATACTATAACAGATGTAGCAATGAAGATTTTAGATTAAAACCTATAACTATTGTGTCCCAATGAGAAGTTGCTGATGGAGAGGTTGTATCAGATGCAACCATTACTTGTATCTCAATTATATTATTTCTAACTCTCAACAAGAAATGGGGGGTAACCTCCATTGATGATGGGGAGGTTGTTGTTGTTGGCACGATATATATCAATTATATAAAACCATATTTGTTTCAAGTATATAAAACCACAAACTATACTGACATTTGTTTCAATTCTGATGGAAACTGTATGCCACAAACTATACTGACATTTGTTTTAATTCTGAGGCTGTTGCCGTTGGCACGATATATATCAATTATATAACCTCCATCTCAATTATATAAAATCACAAACTATACTGACATTTGTTTTAATTCTAATGGAAACTGTATGCCAATGTGCACAGGTTGATATAATTAATTTGTATTAAATAATTAAATTTATCAATTCATATTTATAAATACATATAAATAAATTATATATCAATTAAAATTAATGGACTCGTGCGGACGCACGGGTATTTTACTAGTGAACTTTATAAAATCCTCCAGAAGACCTCCAATGTGTATCAGTATGAAGACACATCTTTGAAGTATCCAATGAACTTTATAGGATCCTCTAGAAGACCCCAAATGTGTATCAGTATGAACACACACTTTTGCATCAGTCTAGAAAGACACCTCCGTATAAAGCCTGAATAAGCACCTTTGTATCAATTTGAATCGACACTTGAACAATCACATCTACCTCAACATCATCAGTAACGACAACATCTAACTCATCGTCATGATCTCTAGACCGATTAGTTCTACCTCCTCTACGCTATAGAGAACGTGGTCCACGAGACTATTCAATTCTTCCACGGTGAAAGTCAGTGAAAACTACTCTACCCACTCTAGTTTGTAGATGAATGTCTCTATCATCTCCATCGCTTCTCCTATAACTCTCTGCAACATGTCTCTTATTCAATCTAGGTAAGATTTTGCCATCTCTTCGCTTATCCTCAGTAAACACAAAAGAAGAAGAAAAAATATCATTGATTATCGAATTTTTCAAAAGGTAGGATTTTGCCATCTCTTCGCTTATCCTCATTAAACACAAAAGAAGAAGAAAAAAAAACCATTGATTACCGAATTTTTCAAAAATTCAGTCACACCCCTAGGTACACTGAATTTTTGATACCTTCGTTAACCAAAATTATAACATTACCGACAATTTTAAAATACCTAGTATGCTATATACATTTTTATCGGCAATTTGTAAATACTTGATATGTATTAAGTATTTTTTCGACTATTTTTAAAAATCCAATAAATGCGTCCAAAATTTTAAATTATAGCAGATATTTCTAAAAAATTGGTATAATCCCATAAATTTGATACGACAATTTTAAAAAACTAATAAAAATGCACGATTTGTGTAAAAAATATGGTATCATGGCAAAAGAAAATTCAATAAAAACACAAATTGAATGGAAAACAGAAAACGCTGCTTATATAAATTCAATATTTTCTAGAAAATATTTGAAGCAAAACTTTTTTTTTTTTGAAAAAATCTGAAATATGTGGTTTTGATTGAGAAAATTTAATTTTTAAGACTCAGGAATATTACGGTCAAAAAGTTAGTTATATGGGGTGCCAAGTTCAGGGGCTGGGGTGCCTCCTAGATTTTTCGTGTTTGAAACATAATTCTGCTACAACAATGTATCCATTTAAGGACTCAACAAATCTTACGTTATTGTGACAGTCATTAAATATCTTTCTCAGTTGACAACAATTTGAATCGAATAATCAAGAACGGAAAGCTGAAAATGGCATCTATCCATGTAACCTTGATTTATCCTAAACCCTATTCTAACTAACAAAATCAACTACTAACTACTACTGCAGCTGATGATGAATGGATTGATGAATCTGATTAATTCGGATGTCCGGATCCCTAGCTTCAGATCAACCTCACCACCACCCAACCAAAAGAAATCTGGAGTTAGTTTAACAATTGCTTCATCCAAAATCACCTGAAATAAAAACCATAACATCCAATCAATATATGAAAGAAGCTGCAGCAAAGCAAAACTGTGATGATAGAGTTGTTTCATTATCATCGTCAGGATGCAACATCTTATACGCTACCATTATAAGAATTTAGATTCCAATAATAATCACAGGTCAGATCCAGCCTTTACCGGAATGTCTGTTTTCATGCCAATACAAGTCACTGCATTGTGCCCATATCCGGTTAACTTCGCTGATATCTCCTCAGGGGCTAGCCTCACTGTATAATAAGTAACAACGTTATTCCCTTCCTTCTAAGCAATATGAGGTTAGAGATATTTAATAGAAAACTTAAATCTTCAAAAACAAAGGGAAAGATTGTCTATTAACATATAATAAAAATGAATAAAAGATAACGGATTAACAAGGACATAATGCCCATATGGACGCATGGGTTACAACATATAAAAACATTTTCGCATGATGAATATACGTAAAGATAAATGGTACTTCAAAGTTATGGGTGTCCCAAACTTTTACTTGTGATAAAAACTTTCCTTTATATAGCTGTCAGGTAGAATTTTCATGCAAAAACTACATTGTCAAGGGTTAATGATCTCAGCTCCCCCGCAATCTCATCTACTGCAGTTTGAAGAAGTTCAAAATAGACAATAAAGACGGGGTACTGCATTAAAATTGGATCACAACATACAATAAACATTTTCTGATAGGTTAGATACAGAAGATATACTAAAATGTACAGTGATTTGTATTGAAGACAATGGAAAAGTGGAAAAGAAGAAAAGTTCCCGTTCATCCTCTATTTCTTCTAATAAATTTCATCAGGATTGCCTGTTCACTCTTATTTTCTAATGTAACCAACTCTCCCCCCAAAAAGATCATTTCCCTCTCTTTCTTTCCAGCTCAGCTCCCCCACTATTCTTAAACTGTTCCCTGTAGTAGACTTTACGTATCTTGAGCCTTCCTTCTATATTAGGTGTCACCTGGCCTAATTCAGTTACGCGGCTCTTGTGTCATCTTCCCAAGTCACATTCTCAATTGGATTGCCCTTCTACTAAATCAAACACTACTGCACTGTAACCCCATCTTCGGTAACAGTTCTGTGACCTTAGACCGACTCTGGCCCACTTTCACAACCATCCTGAATTGCTAGCTTTTGGGGGAGTTCTCCAATAGCACATTTCAGCTGTGATAAATGGAAAAAGGGACGGACTTGGATTGGCAGGGTAGCTTAAGTACCTACGCCACTGCTACCACCTGCAACCTCATTTGCTGCTGCTTGCAGAAGTTCATCAAGGTGGAGAAGTCTAAAGAGATCATATGACGTAGTTACGATGGGTGCATTAAAGGCTCATTCAATAAATGTGAATATTCATCTTTTCATCTCTTACTAGTGAGTAGTTACTGATGACGATCCAAAATAGAAGCCTTTATGCATTAACTTGATAGCCAATGTACACATTCAGCTCCAATTGACTTGACAACCACGAAACTGCCAAACCCCCAACCAAATAAGAGTGATTTAAATTACTTCACCTAACCTTAGCCATCCCCCAAATCATGCCAAAGACTCATCCCACATTAAAGAGTTGCTGCAAGTGCAACACAGTCCTCACAAGTCGCAAATTATCAAGTCAACTCAGCAACTTAAAGAAAGTTTTAGATTTCCTTTTCTGGAAAAACAATTATTCCCAGCCACTATTTTCAATCGCATTTAGGACCCGTTTACAACTTGATTGAGTGCTTATATATAAGCTATTTCTATAGTCAAGAGGAAAGTATTCTCAAATTGTTTTCATATAAGCTATGAAGTGTTTTAATAAGTTATCCTTATCGTAAATAGCTTATGGACACCACTCCCCAACACCCTGTCAAGGGCTTATACGAGTAGATAAGCCTAGGTAAGCTGTTTTGTAAGCCAATCGAAACACAACCTAAATGTTTTACAATTTTATGGGTTAGGCTTTCTCTTTGTTCCTTTGATCAAAGGCCAAACAATTTGACAGAAAACATGTATAACTACGATTTATTTAGGTTGAGAGTATAAAAAATTGCATGCATACAGTTGAATTTCTTCTTCGCTATAGTTCCATTGTTGAGAGAGTATAAAAAGCTTCTTACAGCTTCAGCATTGAATCGAGCACTATACTGCAAACAAAACAAAAAATTGCATTATACCCTTACTAATCCACGAAAAATCCAACAAAACAGACTAACAATAAAACAGAACCTGAACAACGACAACATAGTATTTTGAATTATTTCGATCAGAACAATCGACGACATTGGAAGGCGCTTGCGTGTTAACTAAAACGATGCTTTTACAAAGATGGTGAACCGACGCGGCGTTAAGAGCATCGCGGCGAGCTTCGAGAGGCCAGTCGTAGTAATCGGAAGCGACTCTCTTGAAGGAGAAGTCGTTAACGGCGTTGGTGCGTAAAATGGAAGAGAGACGGGAGACTGTGTCGGAGTCGGAAAGGGTTTCAGGGTCGTTGGTGAGAGGGGAATTTGTAGGAAGATGAGAATGTTGTTCTAGTTTTGATATGCGTTGGAGGAGGTGGGTTTGGACTCGTTCCAATTTTGCAAGGGGTTCTTCCATTCTGATTAGCGTCGGCGATTCCACTACACTCGCTCCGTATTCTAGCTTGGTAACGAGATTTTGAATTTAATTTTTTTTTTTTTTGGTTGAGTTTTTATAATCAATTTTGCCTTGAATTTAGTTTCTGACGTTAGCTTTATGTTAAAAAAACACAGATTGTATAAATTGTGCATAGGTGAAATTTGTTTAGGTGTGTTTTTTGTTTTTATCTGATGCATATGTGGAAATGCATGTGAAAGAGCCTTGAAAAGGAGGATGTAATTAAAAAAACATCACATTTTGCATTTTGTCAATTCTTCTTCTTCGTTGTCTCATCTTCTTTTCAAGAACTTCAAAATTTTACCAAGAATCAGTCATTGCAACAGTTTTTGTTGGAATTTTTGTTGAGTCTGAAATTTCATTTTGTGGTTGCAATAAAGCTATGAGAATGTTCATTTCAAACTCAACTAAAAACCCTAAAAGGAGATTCTGGAAGTGTTTAAATTTGAGATTAGGTTGCAAATTTTTTATTTGGAATGATGAACTTGAACGCAAAACATCAAGTAAACACAAAAATCCAATTGGATGCAATTGGTCATGGGTAGTTCAAGATTTAGGATGCATAATTAAAGGTCTTGAAGCTAGAAAAACAAAGAAGATAAAAATGAGGTTGGAAAATGAAAGGAAGAAGGGTAGAATGTTGAACCTTTTGTTGACTCTTTCATGGTGTTTCTTTTTTACCCACCAGAAATGGTAGTGAATCATGGAATGTGTAATTTGTTTTTTGTTTTGTTTTAGTCCCCGTAAGAATGTTGGTTGTTAAAATGCATCCTTGTAATACTACATCATGTAATGAATCAGAAGTAATGTTATTTTTGAATTCAGTCCCTACATGTTTGTTACTTATTGTTTTGCATCCCTCTTCCTTATTGAAATGATTGTATTACATCATTGGTTGTTAATGATTTGTTTGTATGACATCCTTATTTTACAATGTTTTAGTTAATATTGTATAACATAAAGGCATAAAAAAGTGATCTCAAAATATAGGCAAAACACATCATACATAAACCAAAAGATGTCTCACAATTATATATAGTCAAAAGGCATATAACTTATGTCTAATAGTACATCAAATTCACACCTAAACACAAACCATAATGGTGTGATATGTCTCAAAAGTAAATAAAATCAAAGGTCATATACTTATGTCTAATAACACAATAAAGACACAACAAACATATCCAAAAGGCATCACAATACACAATGACAATGTGCTTATGGATTCTTGTCCACATCCATAAGCTGTGATGAATTACTTCCTTCTCCTTTCAGGTTTTTGCACCTTAGGACCCTTGTTCTATCACTTCTTCTCAACTCCAGTTTCCTAGAAACTTGTGGTTTGTGCCTCTTCATCATCATCATCATCTTCTTCTTCTTCTTATGTAAAACATAAGGTCAAGATTAGAGTTTCTATACATCAATAGAATAATACCAAATTATTAGTTAATGGTACAATATACTCAACTGTTTTACGAACCTTTGGAGTAGTAGGCACAGATGCAACAGGCACATTGTCAGATGATACAACATATGCACTTAAAATATAGTCAAGTATATCTTGAGTTTGTGAAGTTGCAACAGGTTGTGAAGTTGACATAGGTCCAAATGATGTAACATGTTGTGAAGTTGCAACAGGTTCAGATGATGTAACAATTTGTGAAATTGCAACAGGTACAAATGATGTAACAGGTTCATTTTGTGCAGATGATGCAACAAAATTAGGTTGTGTTTGAGTTGCCTCAAATGTTGCTGCAAGATTTGCAGCAAGTATTTCAAACTCAAGGTCAACTTCAATTTGATTCTCAACTTGAGTCTCAGTAGTTTGAGTCTGATCTTGTCCTTGAACTGAAGCAGCTTGAGTTTGACTATGTCCTTGTCCTTTTCCTTGTTCTGGTGCAATCTTCTTTGGCTTTCTCTGGATAAACAAACTATAATCAAGTAATTGACACACTCAATGATGATAGTAAGATATGCAAACTTATAGCAAATTCAATACCTTGCGTTTTTTAGCTTAAAGGTCATCCACTTGACTAGTACAACTTCTTGCATTAGGACCACATACACCACATCTAGTGCAACAATAAGTGGTTTATGTTCTTACTTTATTTGGTTCCTCATAAGGTTTCTTCCTCCTCGACTTCTTTGGTCTAGCAGGTCCTCTTTTATAGACTAGAGGCAACATCTCTTCCATGTCAACATCAGGCCACATGTCTTGGCCATTAATAGGACTTCCACTAAAACTATAGCATTTCTCATAGGTTTCCTTGGAATAACAATCATCAACATAATCTTCTGGACATTGGTTCCTAAAACTTAATGCAGCTACTGCATGTCTACAAGGAATTCCTGCAAGTTCCCAAAAATTACATGTGAAAGTTTTCTTTGAAGTATCCACAACGAAACTATTCTTGGTATGTGTATGTTCCACTTGCCATAATGTATGACCAGACCAGTTAGGAGTCCAATTTCCTGCATGTTCCACTTCCTTATCCAGCCTAAGTCTAGGTCTAGGCATTATTCTATGATACCATTTATCAACCCTTTCTCTTAAGCTTGCATTCCTATTCATGAGATAGTATCTTATCCATTCACACATAGTTAATATTGGTTTATCCCTTGCAACTAAGATAGTGCTATTAAAAGACTCAGATACATTATTCATTAGAACATCACATTTAGGATAAAAATAAAATGCATGCTTACACCATGTCTTGGTAGGTATTCCTGACAATCATTTCCAAACCTTCACATTGAGCTCCTTCATCTCTTTCATTTTAGCCTCATATACCTGGATACACGTGGATTTGGAAGCTACCATCATCAGGTCTCTAATTTGGGTACCTCCACCAAATTTTTTTTTAAAGTTGGCATATAAATGCTTAAAACAAAGTCTAAGTTCCACTCTCTCAAACAACTCTTCAAACACTAGCATCAAACCCTGCAAATTTAGGGATGAAATACAAAAAAAAAAAACATGGTTAGGGATGAAATCCAAAAAAATGAACATAATCAGGGATACAATCCAAAAAAATTGACATAATCAGGGATTAGCAACCCCATCTAAAGAAGCCATTCTAGCGGCCACAATTTTAGTAACCCACTTGGAAGTAGAAAAGCTATTATTTAGTACCCTACCACACGTGTGTGTTCCAATTCATTTATTCATTTTATACGTGTGTTTAATCCCAACTTTACTTACAAGTGCTAAAACACCACATTTGTTCTTGCAAATTACCCTTACTTTAACTTTGTCATTTTTCACAAACTTTATTTGTCTACCATTCAATATTGACCATTCAATTATTGTCTCCTTAAATTCTTCAAGTGATACAAACTCTAGTCCCACTTTAAACTCGTAACTCTTGTCCAACTCATGCATCTTAAACCTTGAATATTTTGGTTCCTTTTCTCCATCAGAAGCATCAGGGTCACTACTACCAAGTTCATCACTGGCATAGTTGGTGTCCATCTCATTAACCACACCACTGGCTGACCCTGAATTATCAACACCAATTGGTACTTTTTTTAGTGTTCTTGTGCTTCCTTGATGTAAATTTGTATCCTTCCTCTTTTACCATTATCTTCATGTTGGTTTTCAACAACATCAAAACAATCATCCAATCCAAGAGCCCTCTCATCCTCACTATCATCAAATGATCAACCATCAGCTACAAAGTCACTATCCTCACCGCCCTCACTGTCCTTATTATCTTTATTACCCTCATTTACTTCAACTTGTTAAACTCCACATACACTAGTTTCTTTATTTTCCCATCTTGCTCCACACCACCAACATTATCTACTTTAACATTCTCCTCAACACTAATATCATTACCTACTTCATCTTGCTCTACACAACCAAGATTATCTACTTCATCCTGCTCCACACTCCTAATATTATCTACTTCACATTCTCCTCAACATCAACATCATTACCTACTTCATCTTGGTCCACACGACCAACATTGTCTACTTTATTACATACTTCAACTTGTTCTAAACAACCAACACTATCTACTTCCACATTCTCAACACCACCAACATCATTACCTTGTCCAACTACTACTGCATTGCGTTCACCTTTATGTTCTACATATATATGTATTGCACATTTTATTTCCATGACATATTGATATACATTAGAAGCATCTGTGTCACTAGCCATTCTACTATATATATTAGCATCATTGTTATACCACCAAAACCATTACTTGGTATGCTCAAGCTCAGTTAACTTTTTCAGAATACCTATTGCTTCAAATAAGCTTCACCTATCAGGATATATTTCTACTATATGCTTATTTTCCCCGTGTAGTATATTAGACAGTCCCTATCAAATTTACCCTTATAATGAACAATCAAAGAGAATCCATGGATGAGTATTCGTATATTCGTTTTGAAATTTACTGCATGCAATACCTGTTGGATGATCTTGATATCAACATTTCGCCATCTTCATCTTCCTCCCTCACACAACAACTTTAATGGAATGTTTCTATTTTTTGCTCAAAAACCCTAATTTACAGGGACTAAACACAAAGCATATATTATGCACACTATTATATTTTTAGTGGGAAATTTATAAATTTCCACGTAGGTATGTTCACAAGTGAAAAATTCATATAAGCAAATTCCGCGTATGCACCGCTTACACATTCATCATTTTTTTTAACAAAAGACTAATGGTAAGGACTAAATGCAACGCAAATTTGAGTTATAAAGACTCAGACAAAAAAAAGATACAGGAACTAAATTCAAAATCTTGATAACTTACAAGAACAAAATGACTAATTAAGCCTTTTTACTATTACTCTATTATATGAATGCAATAGATGGTAGGGAATATCAATATAATGTAAGGTTTAAATAGATAAAAAGTGTAATGATAACTAATTAATAAAAATCTTGTTTGAAGATAGATATTGTTTTTGTAATTTATAAGAAACAATTAATATATG